AAAATGTAACATGATGCAGTGTCTACTGAGAATGTTATAATTTTAGATAATTTTAAACAACATTATTTTAAGTTTGTGTATAGACGGAAAATAAAAATATTGTATCAAGTTTTTATTTCTTGTTCAGGTATTAAAGTGTTTTAATTATATTGTAATTGTGCCAGTAGCTGTCAAAATCATTTTCAAATTTCTATTGTGATCAGAATCAGTTGCCTCACAATTGTCACTTTTTCTAAAAATAGGACCATCGTTCTCCACAATTAAATAATGTCACTAAAGTATAAACTCCATGCATTATTCATTCATCTACGCTTCATTGTTTAATTATTTTATGACACTGTATCACCTGCAAAGGTTAAATTTGTGTTGTCTTATTTTGTTTATGACATACTGGCACAATATACTTTCTAATTGTAAAAGTGATTTACTCACAGTCGCTATGTGTCCGATGGAATTTTGGAATATATACTACTGTATCGTCCAAATTTTTCAAGGCAAGGCAGTAAAAATACAAAAAGGGCTGAAAAGTGACCCTGTCTCTGCTTTCAATACACATTCTGTAAAGTAATGATCTCACTACTTTTGAATATATGAGTTCAGATATGCAGCATCACTGCTATTACTTCAATTTATTATGGACTTTATTGAACCTAACCTCGGCAAGGAATTCTGTTGGAGCAGAGGAGATGGATTCATCAGCGTCGGTATACTCGCTCAGGTCTTCAACGCTGCCTTTGGGTGTAGAAGTCAGACCCAATGGTGGATGCAGACTTCCCATAACAGTGTGATGTTGATGGTTATTGTTGGTGTTCTCTTCGTCATTCTCGTCCCCATGCTCGGTCTCTGTATTCGTCTGCTTTGTATCAGGATTGTTGCCATTACTTTCTAGAGCATTTGCTGGTGACGGGTTCTCCATTGTCGAAACCCTGAAGTGGGAGAACCTTTATTAGCAGATACGTGATTCTCCTGTCAAATATTTTCAGTAATTTTCATATTATTTAATGTACGTGGCAGCAACGAGCACATATTTTATCATCCCAATTTGTTAAATGTTGTGGCATTTTCTGATGGAATAAGACAGGACTTCTTTGAGAACCATTTCATTTTTGTAAAAAAAATAACCTCAGTGAATATCAAACAGGAGTTTACTATACTGGAATCAAGCTATTCAGTAATATTATTCCCGCTATCGAAAGTTTGAATCATGATATAAAGAAGTTTAAGGCAGCATTTTTAGAGTATCTCCTGTCTTACTCATACACCATAGAAGAATTGACCTCAGCCAAGAATTCTCATCTAATTTAGGGTACAAAAGGAAGACTATACTGAAAAGCATTCGGCTGTAGAAGAAATTTGCCTTTAGTTTAAAGCAATGTCTTGAAGCTCATCAGTTTGGTCTTATAGATACTTCCGTTGTCCTCACAAATCTCTTAGCTGCATGTTTTGTATTGTATATAATATATCTGTTGATTTGGCTTGGATTCTGTAACCACTACAATTTAGCCTGCTTTCTCATTTTAATTATTTGAATATTATTTGTAAAACCATGTTTTATGTCTCTTTAAATTACAATGACCTAGATACACTTTTGATTACATTGTTATATTCTGTCTAATATTTCCCCAATCGCACATTATCATCCAAATTTTCAAAAATGTGTGCGGTGTTTGACCTCACACTGTTCCTTAACTTGTGCATCATTCAGCTTTTTGTGATAAAATCTCTGCATATCAAACTTTTGTGCTGCCCTCCCTACATCTTGCAACCACCAAATAGTGGTTACTGTCAGAGCTGCTTCCTCTAAAATATTGGACATCAGTTATATTTTATTGTCATCTTTATTTACAAAAACATATTGCATATTTTCATCAGGAGAAGTAGAAATGTATTTGTGATCTTTTTTATATGGAAACATTGTACTCTAGATGTGTAGACATCTTGATGTGGTAAAGTTTACTTCTTTAATCCCATTATCATTTCATGTAAACTCTCTTTCCCAATTGTTGGTTTTAAATATCTTCCATCCCTACATTTGAACTGAAATCACAAAATCACTCGATAAAAGTTTAATATTTTGCTGAGGGAATTGATTGAATATGTGTTGTAGTTCCTCATTGAACTGACCTTTATATGAAAACATGACATCCTATCACTAATAAAGTCTGCCCTCCTAAGCTGCTATGGTTCCCTTGTGTATGAAAAAAACTGCCCCTAAGTGGTGATCAGCATTCCTGTTGGCTGGTTTAGTACCATCCTTGTCTGATCTGAATGCTAAATGCAACATATTGTACTAATTCTCTTGATACTGCTTTCAAAGAATCTCATATTCCAAATCTCATGTTAATTTTTCATTGCTTATATTATTCCAAAGAATCTGTCCAAATTTCAGCCCTGTTGTATGATTTTATTATATGCTTGTTTTGTATGGTGGAGGGTTGTTAGCCCCGTGTCCAACCCCAAGGTTGAGGATCTTCACTTGGAAGCTGTCCTTGACTGCATATTCAATATGTTTATAGCTACCCTTCATATTTGGAGGCCTCCTCCATCTGCAATCTAAGCATGTGGCTTGACATATTGACAAGGGACTGACTGAACATGCTGTAGACATTTTATACCATAAAAATTACCTTAACTCAAATTTAGAAATAACCAAGTGAAACTGTTAAACTGCCCTCAAATTCCTGAAGTAATTGTTTCAACTTTTATATTGTTGATTTTTTTTTTAATTTCACCCAGCCCCCTACTTTCTTTTCATTATTCAAAATTTACGGGAATTTTACATTAATTTCTAACCCAGAATTATCATTTCTTTGCAGGGTGTGCTTAAAATGAACACAACCACTGGACGAATTTTATTGAACATTTTGAAAAGTGGTATGGACTTTCACCATTGGAGGTAACCTCAAACTCGATTGAATGTTCTACTATCGGTAATTACAACATGGCGGATGCGCAGACTTGTGAGGTGAGGAGCTACACTAATTAACATCCTTAATATTGGGTTGTAAATTATGCACATTAACAGTTAATTAAAATGAGCAACTTCTGTTGAGATCATTTTTCTGCCCAATGGAAGACAGCAACATGGCGGCTGTGCGAAAAGATTTTATGGATGTAGATTGACTGTTATCTAATGAACCGATGAAAATTTGAAATCTGATATGACAATAGATCATAAATATACCTGTAATTAGACATGCAATATTGTACTTAAGTCAACAACGGCAAACACGGTGACACCGCGAAACTGTAGCCTGTATTTGACCATTTTAATGTGGACAAAATCAGTGGTTTTTTTCTAGATTTTGATAATAACGTGTGATCTGAGTGGGATTCGATGGTATGATCATCAGTATACGAGCCCAGAACGCCAACTCATGATAAACATTTCACAGTAGACAGTGGTAATGATTGAAACCGGATTTGTAACACTTCGAATTTTATTCTTTTCGATTCATTATTCGCTCTTATAAACATAATCGGCTATCATAACATGCCGCTTCCACATTCGGGATACATTGCCCAGGGTCGTAAGACCCAAATTTTCGCATACCTGTTTGGATGTCAGTGCTGTTGAGTTCTGTTTCTAATTACTTGCGTTCTTGGAGTTCACTGTTCTAGTAGTATCGGTTATGACCGCCCCAAAGTTTCTCCCATATTGTTTTATAGTCTTGTATGTTAACATGGTTGTGCGTAGACACTTGCTGAAAGACCGATGTGTATCTTCTAAAATCCGCAAAGCTCGGTACATGATCGTGTAAACATGCCCAAAATGTTTTAGATTACTGTAAAAGCACTTGTAAGCTGACCTCACTTGACCTGACGAGCATGTACTCACGCCAAGTCCGGGCTGTAGCTTGACGATTCACGGGGAAAAACGAATCTCGAAACTGGCGGTGGGTAATCAATACCCTTCGTTCGCTTACTCTCTCACTCTGACGGCGTGCGATGGCAATAAACGAGCAGCGTGGGTGTACCAAGAGTGAACACAGGAAGTAAACTGTTCAAATTCTTCACGATAGCACGTTACGAATAGGCGTGGGTCACCAAAAAATATTCGAATTTTGATATCACAAAATGCTGGAAATTGCCTAAAATGCGCACAAAACCAAACATTTTCGATTTTTTTAAAAATTTTTTTTTAAAATTTCAAGGTAGAATTTTTCAATTTTAAAAAAATTGAAGTTGAAAATTCCCGAAAAATCAAAAAAAGCTGGAAATTGTCTGAAAAGCGCACAAAACCAAATTTTTTTGAAAATTTCAAGGTAGAATTTTTCAATTTTTTTAGTTTTGTGCGCTTTTTGGACAGTTTCCAGCGTTTTTGATTTTTTGAAAATTTTGAAATTTTTCAAAATTTCACGACCTGATGCCTTGCAGAACCTGTCTCTCTCGGACAGTTTCTGAATTACTGTGTCTCTCACGAATTCGGTCTGTGCCTGACTCTTGTCTGCACGGGCCGTTCTCTGTATGACGGCTATGACGTGACGTCTCTGAGAAGCCCATGTGCGATAGGCAACACGTAAGGCAGACGCTCACCACCGGAGACCGAGTCCTGCAGAGGTCCGTTGTTGCAGACACCGAGGGATTCGGCAACCTGATGAGATGGAGGACGAGTCTTGCAGAGACAGGATGGGGCATTCACCGAGTTTCGCAGGCATCTCTTGCGGAAAGATTAGGAAAAATATTAATTCTTAGTTTTCTTCGCGTTTCATGCCATTTGCAGCCATTTTTAATTTTTTTAAAATTTCGACAATTTTTGAAAATTTTCAAAGGGGTACCCCTTTGAGAAATTTCAATTTTTTCGAAAATTTTCGAAAAATCAAAAAACGTGGGAAATCGTCCAAAACGCGCACAAAACTAAGAATTTTTGAAAATTTTCAACTTTTAATTTTCTTTCGAATTTTCCGAAAATTTTTGGTTTTGTGCGCATTTCAGAGGGTTTGCAGCGTTTTTTGATTTTTCGAAAAATTTGAAATTTTTTTCTTCTAAATTTGACCTGGCCCATCCCTATCAGGACTGGACTCCGCCGGACTGTCCATTTCACACAGTCTCAGCCGTACTCAGTCTGTGAGTCAACCGGTATCTGCTGTACAAGGTGTCTCTGTCTCTAATACTTTTTAAATAAGAATAATAAATTTGCTGCCCAAAATTTCCACGGGTATGTGAAAGAAACTCCAAAAATTATCGATAATTTCGGCACGAGCTGTCAAAAAGTTTCGCTACTACGAAAACTTTTATGAAAACTGACTTTATGATCGATTTTAAGACGAAGATTTGCAATGGTGGGGTTGGACATAGAAAGTTGACGACCAAGAACAGTTGGCCTCTGAACAGCGATGTAAAGAACTAAAACAGAACTATTTAACAAATAAACAAAAAAATGTTTTGCAATTTATAAATCACACCTGTAACAATATTGGCATAACAATTAAAATTGTTAAGTCATGGTTTTCGTAGACATTGTTGTATTTCATTAGTATGTATTGCCTTCAACAATCAGTTTTTCTTAGTCTGAAAATAACTGAGCTGTGAATCGCTTGTAGAAGTGCGTCTTAGACAGAATACTTTTGTGCTATTGAAGAATAGTGCGTTACACTCTCTGAATTTTGTTATTAATTCCACTGTTTATTGCTGGTGGACATCTATTTCCCTTCCCATGAACGAAGAGATAGGTAAAGACTATTTCTTATTTTATTGTTATTATTATTTATCAACATACGAGGAATCACAAATTTTTATAGTCTAGGGCAGAACGCTCCTTTCGGAGCTCCTCGGAGGGGTTGGTCAAGTTTTTAAAAAGCAACGAACCCCTTCTGGGGGGTTGGTTGCGTTTTAAAATCTTGTGTAAGAAACTAAACTAAACCCCCCGAATGGAGGGTTAAAACACTTGACCAACCCAACCCCTCCTTCGGGGGGGTTGGTTGCGTTTTAAAATCTTGAGTAAGACACTAAACTCGGCATTGTTGTGTTCCACAACTATGCCGAGTTTGTTTATAGTTGACATTGTTGATGACGTAATTTAATGACGACGACGAAATCACAAATTTTTATAGTAAGATGCATAATACGTATGTGGTTTAGTTTTATATCATCAGATGGCATGGCTGATGCTATGATTCAAACATTACCCGCTATATGTCTCGTACATGAGACATTGATGAAAGCGTTTGTTCTGGCGTGAAGGTTGTGAATACCTTAGGGGAGTGGTTTTCAACCTGGGGTACGCGTACCCCCAGGGGGTTCGCGAAGACATGTTTGGGGGTTCGTGTAATTTAAAAAAAATATATATTATTTTATGATATACACTGAATAATCAGTAATGTAATTTATTTAATTTATTTTAGATGTAGATTATATACTATTTATAACTTGAATTATATACCAACAACTTTGGGGGTACAAAAAATGGTTGAATACCACTGCCTTAGGGGACCTGCCCAACAACAACGTTAGTGAGTGCGCCCGCATACTCGCTTTTGTTCAATCCTTGGGGTGAAAACAACTCCCTACCAACTGGAAAAGCTAATTGTTACAGGAAACGTGCAGTCTCACAGACTGACTGACGACGAGCAGACAAGGCAAACAGCTGATCGCCCACAACTCGTCATGCCCTATCGTAAATTGCCTCGACGACTACAACGAAACATCGTTAGCGTTTAAAATTAGTCAGGAAATAAATGGACACCTTCAGTTGTTTTCCAGTTTTATCCGCCCTGTCTTCATTTCGACTATAAATGACATTAAACATCTCAGTTTTTAAAATCCACGTCGTTGAATAATAAATTTGCTGCCCAAAATTTCCACGGGTATGTGAAAGAAACTCCAAAAATTATCGATAATTTCGGCACGAGCTGTCAAAAAGTTTCGCTACTACGAAAACTTTTATGAAAACTGACTTTATGATCGATTTTAAGACGAAGATTTGCAATGGTGGGGTTGGACATAGAAAGTTGACGACCAAGAACAGTTGGCCTCTGAACAGCGATGTAAAGAACTAAAACAGAACTATTTAACAAATAAACAAAAAAATGTTTTGCAATTTATAAATCACACCTGTAACAATATTGGCATAACAATTAAAATTGTTAAGTCATGGTTTTCGTAGACATTGTTGTATTTCATTAGTATGTATTGCCTTCAACAATCAGTTTTTCTTAGTCTGAAAATAACTGAGCTGTGAATCGCTTGTAGAAGTGCGTCTTAGACAGAATACTTTTGTGCTATTGAAGAATAGTGCGTTACACTCTCTGAATTTTGTTATTAATTCCACTGTTTATTGCTGGTGGACATCTATTTCCCTTCCCATGAACGAAGAGATAGGTAAAGACTATTTCTTATTTTATTGTTATTATTATTTATCAACATACGAGGAATCACAAATTTTTATAGTCTAGGGCAGAACGCTCCTTTCGGAGCTCCTCGGAGGGGTTGGTCAAGTTTTTAAAAAGCAACTAACCCCTTCGGGGGGGGGTTGCGTTTTAAAATATAGAAGAAGATTCACATGTGTTTATTAACTTATTAACCCTCAAGTCTCACGTGCACATATTTTTATCCATCCATTTCCTCCTAAGGGAGAAAGATCGTTACTTAGTATCAGAAAAGGGATATTCAATGCTCGCATTGTCGTGTATTGGCTATTCTGTTTAATGTACTACACGAGCATAGATGTCGCTTTTGTTAGGTTAAGTCGTGTCAATCTTGTTGTTGACGTGTAAATTGTGGATGGGAAGGAAAATTTTGAAGTTTTCGGTTTTCCTTGAACGAATTATAAAGTGATATAAGATGAACGCATTCAAGCGAGACAAAAAGGAAGAAGAAGAGGGTATGTGTAACAATATGAGTTTTTGGAAAGTTGGAGTGCCGAAAGGCTATCTTTTAATTGATGGGAGATTTAAAATAAAATATGTCAACTTCGTTCAGCAGTTGTTTATCTGGTGCCATAGATCCTAGCGTTTTAATGAAGTGACTGTGCTTTATTACTGTGTTCGGGTATCTCGTAGAAGAGAACTACCACTGTCCTCCTTTCCCGTTGTACTGTCTAGCATCTCATTAGATATCCAGTGATTGTTAAGATCGTGGCTTCGACTACCAAACACTTCAACAAAATGTCATAAAACAGTTTTCTTTTTTTAGTTACAGCCTTTCCATATTTGTAGTCGACACTTCGGATTAAGGGGAGCTTAGAATATCCGTAACATATATGTAGCTGCATTGCACTCAAATTGTATTAATGAACGTGAACAGTTGTCTGAAGGCTTTTTTGAGCACCAAAGCAGTATGTTGTTATTCCTTCGTGTATTTAGAGGGTTTTCTTTCTTATGATAAGTAGGGCAACCCTACATACAGCAGGAACTTTCAGAATAAAATCTAATTTCTAGGTGCAACATTTTAAATAGTTTTGTTCTGAGGTCATCATGTAGTTTAGCATGTCAATAATTTTAATGATTTTAAGTTCCATAAACTATGTAAAAAGTAACTGTACCCTAGTAAAAATGGTGAAAGACAACGTTACAACAATTATTGTTATCACTTCTTATCAAGGTCTTGTGGGAAGTTAGGCCATGTATATGCTATAAGAACATGAATTCTGACATTTTATCAGTTGTCATTTTTATTCTGTATGTGCACAGATAATTAACAAGATATTCAAACTGGGCCACTATTTAAAAGTACGTTATAAAATTATGTCAGTTATACGTTCCACAAGCAAACTGTTGAGAACCATTGCTTAATAGAACAGTGCAGAGAATTTTTAATGGTTGACATGCTGTTTTAATAGCGAACTGGAACCTGTGTACTTCAGAACAGAATTCAAGTTAATATAATTTGTGTAAAATCTGTAAATAATTGTTTCACGAAGATTTAGTTTTCGATAAATAAGTATTTGTAAGATAATTAAATATAAAGATTGTCAGACAAGAATGATCTAATGGGAAGTTGATATTGAAGTCAGGAATAGAGGAATCAAGTAGTATGTACATGTAAGTGGTTGTCTGTTGGACATTTACCTATATATAAAACCACTTACCATTTGGCAAGTTTGTCTGTGTTTATATAAATTATTCAGTTGGAGCTGTGAACGGTTCTTTCTGTGGTGTATACTTTGTTTACTCTTATTAGTTTGAGCATGTTTGAACTTGATTTCAGGAAGTGGTAATCCTTTCCAAAACATAGAAAAAACTACTGTCCTGCAAGAAACTCGGATATTCAATGACTGTCCCGTGGATTCAAGAAAATGCACACACATTCTTACCAAAATCTTGTATCTCTTGAACCAGGTAAGGTGCAGAAGGTTAGGAATATTGACTGAAGTTACTGTGTCATCAAATGTTGTCATTATTATGCCAATGAGCAGTGGTTTTATGACATGCTGTGTACTGCAATGAAGTGTTGTGAAACTGACAGTTTTTCAGCGTGATGTAATTATTTTAATTGGCCTGGAATGGATGCATGTCGCTCTCTGTGTACTACTCTCTCTGTAGTGCAGGATATTCTTTAAAAGATTTTACTCAGCTTATTCAAAGAATAGCCCACTTTCTTCATGGAACCTGAAGGTTCATCACCGTGTTCACAAACACCTGCCACCAGACTCTGTCCTGAGCTAGTTGCATCCGGTTTGTTCGATCGATTCCTATCTCCCTAAGGTCCATCTTAACATTGATTTCATCTGAAATGTCATTCTGACTTGTTAGTGTCGTAACCAAGTATTTGAATTTCGTCATATTTTTTTACAATTCATTTGCTACCCTAATATTATGGATCTTTCCTGAATTCTGATGCCAGCACATGATCATATACTTTGTCTTTTTTGCATTAATTTCTAGACGAACATACGTACTAGGCCTTAAGAGTGTTTCTTTGTTCACTTTTAGAGTATTTATATTGTCGCCCAACATATTAATATCATCAGCACATACCAAAAGCTGATGTGTCCCATTCAATTCCAAACCGCCCTGATTCTCCTGGGCATTCCGGATGGCATATTCTAAGGTCAAATTAAAAAGTGGTGGCGATAGAGCATCTCCCTATGTCAGGCTATTCTAAATAGGAACTGAGTCTTAGGCTTTCTTGAAGTCTATAAATAGTTGATGTACTGTTCTGTTGTACTAAATTTTTTTCCCGAGTATCTGGTGATTGTAGAAAATTTGATCAGTTATACATCTATTAAAATGGAACCCAAACTGATGATCCCCATTATTTTCATTGAGATACGGAGTCAACCTCGCCAGAAGATTGTTGGATAAAATTTTGTAGGCAAATGATAAGAGCAAGATTTGTTGATAATTATTAGTCAGTCTTATTACCCTTTTTATGTATTGAATGGATATATATATTGTAAATTTTATTAAGGAATTGTGAAATCTGTTCCTACGAGTGGAACAATGACATAGTGTTCTTGAAGGTTTGCATTTATCATCCTTTAAGGGATAAATGCAGTAACAAACCTTAGTTAATTGGTGGATGCTGGGATAGGGGAATGTCAGGCTGGCACCCTCAGTTAGTCTGGGTTTGTATTTGCTTGTATTTCTGATGTGAGAGATCTTGTTGAAACTCAGAATTGGGCGGGTATGTCAGACTCTTGGCCTGTGTGCCACATAGAGCCTATAACCCCCCTTCAGTTTGTTATGGGGCCTGACAGTGTCTTGAATTATACATGATTTGAGGCCTCAAATTTCCCTGTTTCCATAAATTTTAAGTTTCAGATGCATGTCAAATAGCTAATTGGGAGTGATGGTTTTATATTTTACTTAGACTTAAATAAAATGGAAATGTGTTTCAGTGGAATTCACATTTGTATGTGAGAAATCTTACATAATTATCAACCTTTAATTTTCTAATTTTATACCATTTGAATATACATGTTGGATTTAGTCATTTAGAGGTGAAAAGTGCTGGTGATTATTAGAAGTGCAAAATTTAGATACAAGGTATCCATGAAACATCTGCCAAGTTACAGATGGTTATTTATTTAATTATCTTGAGCAAAAAATTATACAGAAGGTTGGTTGGTGGGTTGCTCCTCCAGAGCTGTTTCTTCAGATTGCTCCATGAAGACGTTGGCGATGACAGGAGATAGCAGGGAACCCATGGCTACATCGTCAGTCTGCTCGTAGAATTGTCCGTTGAATTTGATCTATTTTTCCCTCAGGAACAGTTAATGTCTTTGAGTTTCCTCCCTTTTGAGATATAAAATTTATCACTCGAAATACGCCAGTGAATTATTACTCAGAGTTGTTTGGGTGACATTTCATGAGACATCGTGTAGACACTTATCTTGCCTATTGGCAAACATAGCTGAACTGTGTGTGTTGTTATATGTACAGTACTTTGTATGATGTATCTAAAATGTTTGTATGTAATTCAGGGTGAACAGCTTGGTACTACAGAAGCTACTGAAACATTCTTTGCCATAACAAAACTCTTCCAGTCTCAAGATGTTATTCTTCGACGTATGATGTATCTTGGTATCAAGGAGTTATCAACCATAGCTGAAGATGTGATTATTGTAACTTCAAGTTTGACTAAAGACATGACTGGGAAGGAGGATTTGTACAGAGCAGCTGCCATTCGTGCTCTGTGCAGTATAACTGATGTTAGTATTCTCTGCATATATTTATTATATTTATTTAGTGTTCTGTCTGACGACAGGTCCATATGAACAGGATCCTTCCATCCTTTTCTCGGACTGGGACCTGTTCATATACGTTCTTGGCAGATGATCCAGAAGTGGTTTGCCATTGACTTCTTCTGTGTG